CAGATTTTCCCTCATTTTAAAGGTATATGGACAAATAGAACAATCTAATGGAATTTTTTAAGTTTTACGGATTTTTTCAAAAACTCCGTTTCAAATTTATTTAACATGTCAGAGCCTGTAGGATGATAAAAAAACAATAAATAACATTAAATAACCATCATCCAACCTGCTTTGCTACTAGAAATAAGTTTTCCTGATATTTTTGGGGTTTTTTTGTGAAAATTACATATTTTTGAGGATCATTTAAAGGTAAACGTCTGAAGAAGTTGATGTGTATGCCAACCATTTCCCCTCCCAAAACAGAAACACAAAGCTAAAAAGTGGGAACTGAATATTGGTCGTTAATATCGGCCCAGTTTTATTTATCGGACCGATACGATATTCTAAAAAATGACCAACATCTGCCGATACCGATGTTAATGCCGATTTATTGTGCATCCCTAAAAAGATACTCCAGATTTACTGTAAGACCATGTCTTAGTGGAATTGCATGACTSTTAGTGAAAAGTAGTTTAAAGTGTCATATTGACCAGTTTGCGACTTTTTTTGCTTTATTTTGTAATTTTGTTTCATTAATTTAAGCACCTGATCCAAACATAAGGACTTCAGCAGTTATAAATGTTAAATTTTAGGGGTTTTGTCAAAATTTCATAACACATTACAAATTACTCATTACGAAAATTATCTGCACCCTCAAATTTCTTGCGAAACTCTAAATTTCCTCTGTAGTTTTCCTGCTTTGCAGCATTATACCGACAGACATGCAGTCGTTTTAGTTGCCAGTTTGTTTCCTGGTCTCTGATTGGTCCCGGCACGCTGCCTTGGATGCCACCGGCTCCGCTGCACCCCTCCCCCCTTACCATATGTTTTGTTCCCCCACCCCCTCCCCCCTCCTTAGCTGCTCCTTTCGCAGAGTAGTTTTTTGTGTGCATGCTCGTGTGTTTTTCTGTATAAAACACAGGATCAAAGCTCTTTTTTTAACTCATCCTTCCTATGTGCGTGTGTGTATTCTAAACTGCAAAGGTAGCGCACGATGTTGCGAAGGACCCTGGGCATTCGTTCCCCCATGTTTGTCACGTGTGTGTGTTTCTCCGGACGGATGTTCTAAACTGCAAATTCCATGTGTGTGTAAACATACTTGGCCAAAAAAACTGATTCTGATTCTGATGAAACAGCTTGAAGAGGTTTGTCGCTGGTACAAAAGCACAGCATAAGGCTGCTGAATTATTTTCCACCTTGTGTCATTGATGAAAGGCAAACTTTACCAGATGATCTGCTGCTGCTAATTGTAATCTACATGTATCAGTGACAATAAGCACGACAGAAGAGGGTGTAAGCTGCTTATCCGGGCAGATTTCATCATTTGTTGCTGCGTCTTCTCGTTAAGATCTGAGGATCTCCRAATGTGAGCTGTGAGTCGTTGCTGTCTCAGATATGACATTATATTTTATAGCACCATTACGAATGCAACCTAATAACAATGGTGTATTATTTTGATAAAGTTAATATTCTGAGTGTATTTTTTTATTGGTATCTCATTTTATCTTTGGTCTGAGATGTTTTGGTGCGCGTTGGCACGCCCCTGACTACGTGTGAAACAATTATCCATCGTTACAGGACAACTGTTGTTTTCTGTTCTGAAACTCCATCTAATTATGTCCTAACTTACTGTGGTCTCAACATTCATCCCAAAATCTTGTCTACCTCTGCRGTCTATGAGGCATGTGATGAAAGCTGCACTCCATGATGCAATCAAAGAGCAAGGCTCATTTTAGAAGTAGTTCAAACAAGAGGGGGAAAAAAACTCGGCATGTTTAGTGGGCTGGTTGAGGGTGAACTGCAAAAAAAAAGATTACAGTTCATCTACTTATTCTTACGTTGCGGCACGCAATAATTGCAACGATAAAATGACCACAGCTAATAATCTTTAAGCGAGCATAATGAGGATAAAGAAAACATCAAAATCAATAGAAAACACGATGGAATCAGTCAGACCGCTGCTATATATACATATATACACATACATACATACATACTGTATGTACTGTATATACTGTATGCTGGTGGAAATCAAAACTCAGATTTCCACCAGCAGGTGTCATTAGAGAGTCAACACTGCCTCACAGGAAACTCCATGTAAAATGGTGCTAATATGAAAACTTTCAGAAAACGATCGGAAAAAATACACATGTAATGCTTATGNCTCATATTTCAGCTGTGAGAGAGAATGAAACATAACATCTAAATATATATTTTAAATAGGTAGTTACACAATAATTTAGGCCTACTTATTACATATCAGAATATAAGCATTGTTCAAAGCGGAGTACTTGATGTTTAAAAAATTCTCATGATTTTGCTAAAAGATTATTGAGAAGCTCAACTTCAGTGCTTAAAAATGTTTTATGTCAATATAAATAAGAAAGTGATCAGGTAACTGTAGCTGTAACATGCATGTTGGGTAATAAAAGGTGCAGACTGAGTGTTTACTCTTTATGTTGCAATGACAGAGACAGATGACTGGGTGGAGCAGACCAGGTGTGGTCAGGTGTGCCGGCTGTCAGTCCTGACTCACCTGGCTGTCAGTCCTCCTCCTCAGGGTACCTGTTCGGCTTTCACTTCGTGTCAGGCGCCTGGATGAGCTCTCAGTCTGATTCAAGTAGAGACAGACTCTAAACTTAGCACCACAACAACAACAAAACACAACATGCTAACAAATAAGCTAATAGAGAAGTAGCATTGAGGTGAGCGCGTGAGGAAGGCTGTATTATTACACCACAAAATAAAACACCCAACTACATTTGTTATCGTTTTACTGTTTTAAATGTTGTATCAGTATGTTAGCTATAACTTCACTGCTTGGCGACCGTTTTTCTTCGCTCACCTCTGTTATGATGCTCCGGAGAGACTCGTCTTCACTTAGTCCACGAGAAAATGCGCGTTTCCTCGGCGAGCCACTGCCGTCCACTGCGACTGAATGCATTTTCGGCGATTTCTCCGAAGCTATCCTTTATGTAAGAGAGACGCCTACGAGTGCTGTTCGGTTCCTACGCAGCAGAACCACCTGCAGAACAGCACCAAGCCCAGGCCGCGAAGCTACGGAAAGCCGYAGGGGACAAAACGCTGCAACCAAAAGACCAGGCTTTAACAGGAGACTCTGCTCGAATCTGTAACTACAGGGAGGTTTGAACACAACCTCCTCGTGATGACATCAATCATTAACCGGAGCTGTGCTGAGTTAGTTTACAGAACACATTTAATAATATCAAACAGACAATATATTGCAAACATTTCCGTCGGATCATGTGATATAATAAAAATTGTGACTTAAAAAAAAATCAAAATATTTTAACACATTTATGAAACTCTGTCTTCTTCCTCCCATCTTGATTAGTCATACAAGCTGTTCTGCAATGCTATTAATCCACACACACACACACACACACACACACACACACACACACAC